TAATAATCTTAGTTTTGACATGTTTCTTTAAAAATTATTTCAACTTTCTTAATTATTAGATACAATTAAATTTGTAATATCAACTAAAATACTTGGTAAATTTATTTCTGCTAGGATTTTATTTTTACAAATTCGAGTCCAAATTGTAATTTTTATTATTTTCGCTTACGAAGCAACGGGCTAGTGGGATAAATTGTAAATATCGCATTAATATTTAGGTAAATTTTCGTTTTTCATTTTCTCCGTATGTATGCGTAAAATGCCATAAAGACGTTCTATTTAGCTTTTAGAAGACTTGCAAACTTTCAAAAAAAGTGGACTTGATTAAATGTCTACAGGGTGTTTGAGGTTTAACTGGACAAACATAAAATCTGAATTCGGAACCCCAAAACAAGAAATATGTTTTCTTTGTGGGTATCTCCGAAAGCGTTTTGTTAATTAACTATGATTTTCAATTATTTTCTATTGAATGGATATCTTAATACATTACATTTCTTCTAAATTTGGACGGGTTCAACTAGTTGTTTAGTATTTCATGGTCCTACATCAACAAAACAAGATCACCAACAAAATATGAAATAAAAAAGGTATTAGCATTCTACGAAGAAATTCTGCGTGAAAAGAAAGAAACGTTGTGTGATGACTTTATTAAATACGAAACCTTCAACATCGAAATTCATAACTTTGTTTTCGTAGCAATTCGCCACGCGTATTGGAAAAATGGAATACATATAAGCACACACACGTGTCTGTATACCTATATAATTGTAGTAATTACACATAACAACAAGTCCTCCCTTATTGCTTCCTGGTAAAAAGAATATAACGATAAAATGACGACTTTATAATTTTTTGATTTTAACCTTTCTGCTTCCTGAAGCGGCAAGTCAAGGTCCTTCAATTATTTTCAATATTTTCTAAAATTTAATAGACACAAGAAATTCTAGTTAATTATGTATAATTTTAGTATTCATCATCATCATAGGGTCGTCAGTTCTAAGACTGGTTGGACACGTACCTCCACTCTTTCCTATCCTGAGCTAAACTTCGCATTTCCCTAAAACTAAAACAGCCCACGTAGAAATTTAATTCGTTGTTGAGAGTTATGCCCAGATACTAATATTGACTTATCGTAAATAATATTAGAAAGATAATATTTGCTTAAATAAATGTTTTTAGCTGGTTGTTGCTTTAAATAGATATAAGTAAGTTCAATTAACTTTGGGACGAAAGTTTCCTCTGGCGCTGTGCTTCTAATTTTAGTACGTTATAGAAAAAACTTATTGAGTTTCCAAGAGTTCAAGTACTTCTATTCACATCTACCTTACCCTATTGCTGCTATACACACAGCAATTGCAGACCGAACATCACCTTCTAGATCAAATATTTTCGTAAGCAATGAATACGATTCTTCCTGTTTA